CCCCGGGGACCGAGGCACGAGCCAAGGCGATGCTCGGAGCCGAGGTAGGTGCGGGCAGGCCGGGTTTGCCCAGGGCTGCAAATGGAGGGGTTTTTTTGAATGATGAGGTTTACCGAAGGATGAAGAAGGGTTTTTTTGGAAGGCTTTCCCAGCCTGTACTAACAGGCGCTGAGATTTGGGGGAAAATTCTCTGATTAGCTACCTCATCTGGCACTTGGGGAGAGAGACAGAAATGCTTGGCTATCTTGCAGCCCCTATTCAGCCACAAAATGATGGGCCATGTGTGGTTTGGGGCTTTTATTGTGCCCCTCTCCAGCCATTCCTCTGTGGAGGCATCTCAGCACCTTTTCCTTTGTCCTGGGGACAAAAAGTGGCTTCTTGAGCTATTTATTCCTCAGGGGGTGGTGGACCCTGTGCATCAGCACCCGCTGGGAGCCCTCAAGGAGAGGGGATAGGGCAGGGGCACAAAATGATGGGCCATGTGTGGTTTGGGGCTTTTATTGTGCCCCTCTCCAGCCATTCCTCTGTGGAGGCATCTCAGCACCTTTTCCTTTGTCCTGGGGACAAAAAGTGGCTTCTTGAGCTATTTATTCCTCAGGGGGTGGTGGACCCTGTGCATCAGCACCCGCTGGGAGCCCTCAAGGAGAGGGGATAGGGCAGGGGCTGTGGGTGGATGGGGAGATGCCTTGGAGATGAGGATCAGCAGGCAGAATTCTGGGGGTACAGGAGCAGGGAAGGGGTCCGGGAGGGATGGGCGATGCTGACCGTGGGGCTCCCTCCCTCCCAGGCAGGCTGCACAAAGCTGGCAGGGCTGGACTCTGCTGTTGTCACTGTGGACCTTCCAGTGGACATCAGCCCCCAAGGAGCTCTGCAGGAATGGAGGGACAGGGAAAAGCAAAGCGTGTCCTGGCAGGTCTGGGAAGCGCCGCGGAAGGGAACGGCACACCGTGGAGAGGGAGAGACCTCGCCAGAGCCACCCAGCGGGACGTGAGCGAAGGCAGTGGACGGCGGCTCTCCTGGAGCAGCCATCAGGGCTGGGCGTTTTGGAGCAGCTCGTCGCGGTGCCGCGAGGTAAGGCTTGATGCCTCTCCCTCCCCGGCACCTGGAGCCCCCCTGCGCCGTGGGGAGGGGACGCAGCCTGGCTCAGCCTGCTCCCAAAGGGCAGCCTGGGGCGTTGGGTCTCGCCGGCTGCTGTGTGCACGCACCGGTCTGCTCCGACTCCGAGCTGAGCTGGGAGGATTGCCGGACTGGGAGAACGGAGCTGGAGGCACCCATTTTCCTAGTCATCCTCCCTGGAGGAGAGGGTCACCGGGGTTTTTGCTTCCACCCACGTTCCTGCTCACAGACATTTATCTTTTTACTGTAGCAGGGAGAAATGTCACAGGGACAGCTGATGGCTTTAGGTGTTTCAATATCCGTCTTTATTGGCGTTCTCCAGCCTCTCTGTGTACACCCATTACTTTGTCAATAATGGGACAAATCGAGCTGCTCTCCTTCCTCTGTCTCAGCTCTGCGGTTTAGGAGGCTCAGCAACTATTTACTCAGGCACACTGGCTCCAAGCTGTCTACCACCCAAAATGAGAGCTCCCGTTTTCCTCTCGGGCCCAGCACGGCCCCGTAGCTTTAATAGCATCTTTGGTTTAGGTAGTCTGACCTGTGACTTCAAGGTTAAAGAAGCATTCAGGTCCTTCATTTCTCCTTGTCTTTCTTTTTGCTCTTTCTCTGGCTGGTCAGTTCGCTGAGCTTCTTGTCGAGGCACCGCTGGAGATGGGCTCTCTTGGCCGGGTCCAGGGACTTGTCTTTGGAGCCGCTCCCGGGATAGAGAACCCCTTCTCTGCTGATCCTCTGCCGCGCGTGGGCCCTGGCCTTCTCCCCGCAGCCGTGAACCTGGTGGAGAGAGAACGGACACCGGTGGCAGGCAGGAACCAGGGCAGCGATCGCGTACGTGGGAATCGGGTGATTTTATTCCTGGAGCCTGGAATTCCTTCTCCGCCTGCTTGGCACCCCCCCTAAAACAATCTCCCATATATTTATAGGTCCTCTAACAGGAAACAAAAGATAAAGATAATTTCTCTGCTCTGGAAATGTGCACAGCAGGTGCATCATCCTTTTGGACAGTTTATCTCTCTCATTCCAAAACTTTAAAGGTCTGGGGGAAACTCACACACGTCATGTGAACAGCTGGATCTCTTACAGCTCTCACAGGCGAGCTAGAAATAAAACTGAGCTCCCAATTCCTAATGTTTTCTGCCAATACAGCGTGACTTGGGGGGAAAAAGGAGTGAAACAGGAAAGGTGACTTGGGAAATAAGGAGAGACCTTTTCAGCCACATCTCTGCCTCTTTAGTGTAATTAGATCTGCCTTCTGCATTGGAATAAAAGCAAGCTTCGTAATGCTAATTCTGTGCAGGCAAACCCTTTCCAAAACCAGTCTGCGCTGAAGCCCAGGCCGTGGTTAGAGTGCATTAAGCCAAGTTTAACACTATCTTGAATCATTTCCACCAGGCCTAAATGAAAGATCCTAAAAGTTTACTGCGTCTGCCTGGTCCATCCTAACGTCATTTGATGTTTTCACGAACGCAAGCCGATCCGAGGATCCCGCCTGTTCTTTCAGCGCCGTGCCAAGCCTTCTCATCCCCGCTAGCACTGCTGGAGCAGGTTGCCAATGGCCAGGAATAGCTGTGCACAGCACCTGGCACACGGCTCCCAGCCAGGACTGGGATTTCTGAGCCCGCTCTAAACCAGCCATAGCTAACAGACCCTCCCGACCAACTTGAAAGCGGGCAGTAACTCCCGTGTCAGCAG